TCGAGCATACTTAAATAACAGATTTCGCAATAAGTGGATTGGCCGAGGAGGGCCACCTCGTTCACCAGATTTAAATCCGTTAGATTTTTGGTTTTGGGGACATTTAAAACAAATTGTTTATTCTGAAGACGTTCAAAATGTGCAGGATTTGAAGAATAAAATTAGTAACGCATTTGACACAGTAAAACAAATTCCTGGTATCTTTGAACGCATTAGAAGTTCATTTAGAAAACGTATCCGTTTGTGTTTAGAAGTAAATGGTGCGCATATTGAACATTTATTATGACATGAATCTTTTCCAATTTGTTAAATATTCGTTGTTTTTATGCTGGTTGAACGATTTTCTTCGACAATCTTTGTTACTTGTTTTGTTAAATTATTAATGAACTGTATTAATTAACTTAATATTATCTTATTATTTATTAAACTTTATCTTAACCATCGTAACCATGGTAATCATATAATTACTGCATCTAAATCGTTAGAATTAATGATGTTTACAATAGGTCAGCTTATGAAACTAAAACTTTGAATATCTCGAAATTGGTCCATTTTCGGACCTATGTTTATTAGACTTTTCTTGTCTGTTTTCGATCAGAGAATACGCTGATGCAGTATTGTACAATCGTTGCGGGACACCCTGTATAAATAATGAGCGACTTCGGCTCCCCTAAGGAGCTATGTACATCCCTTCAAAACGGGCGGAAAATTTTGGTTTATTTTTTTTCTCAAAAACCCTACATATACGCTAGGAAAATGAAATTTGGGGACTAAGTTTAGCTCCTAATAGAGCACGTTTCTAGCTTATGGTTCATATATTAAAGTACCTTTAAAATTCACTAAAGAATCAGCCCTTGAAGTTTGTTGCAGTAATTCAGATACATCCTGTATACAGTGTGTCCAGATTTCGATGCTCATCATTCGGCTATTATAAGAGATAGAGCAACGGTTAAATGTTTCGGGGAATGTTTTGCAGAATTCAATGCTCGCAACAAATCATATTTCAAATTCATCCTCACTTTTTTCGTTTTTGAGATATTTTGGAAAAACTGAAATTTATATTGCTTATATTGTTAAGACTAGTTTTTGGTCTGAACAGAAACTATCGATATTCATTTGCTTCCAAGTTATTAGGTCTTTAATTAAACTAAAACTAGAACTAACACTAGCACTATCAAGTTATCTTCAGAAACAAAAAAAGTTCAAAGTTGTTTCTGAAGAAGGTTGCAACATGACATCCGAAACGTCAAACATTTTTTCAAAAAGCGCACGGCTTAACCCGAAAGTTTCTAGTTCTAGGTCTAGTGTTAGTTCTAGTTTAATTAATACCAGCCGTGAAAGCCTTTGTACTTTTATTAGCTCTTTGTTTTTTTTTTATGGCGGCCATATTGGATTCTTGATTAGTTAGTCCCTAAAAAGAGCTTTTCGATAATGTATAGCATATTGCCTAAAACGTGATGAATTCATTGTTTTTTCAAACTGTTTATGATAACACTGGGGAATCTAAACATGTTACAGAAAAACTTTTAGAACGAAAGTTGTGGCAAATATTATTCTTAACAAAATTTCTCTCTTGCACTTGAAAATATGATGAATTCGTTGTTCTTAAGCTATTATATGCTGACGATAATAAAATATTCACAAGGATCGGGTCTAATCTGGATTGTCTTAGATTACAGAAGGATTTTGACCGCCTGCATGACTACTGTCGCCTCAACAAACTTTACCTAAATTATGACAAATGCCAAAAAATTACATTTACTTGGAAACGTTATCCTCTCAACTTTTTTTACTTTTGGATAATAATAATAATAATATACCTTTATTTACGTTATGAAAACAAAAATACAGAGACACAATAGAAAAATCAAAGATAGGCGTAAATAAAGTGCGAAAGAAAGAAAAAATTAACCCCGGCAATATGCCATAAAAAAAAACCGTGTACATGGACAGAGACATAGCAACTGGCGCAAGCCGGAGTAGCCACCAAAACTGCAGAGCTAGTTTGTGTGTGGCGTTCTCTAATTAATCTTCATCGATCCATTTATAAAACTTACTTAAAAAAAAAACTTTACATAAAACTCTCTGTACCTAATAGAGTTAGTTTACTAACAGAACAAGAAAAAGAAAACAAAAAAAACAAGAAAACTAATGAGAAACAAAAAAAAAATATATATTATAACCACTAATCTCAACTATTTAATAGTAGTATTTGTTAAACCATAATATGAAACATGTCCTCAATTTGTGGTTCAGTGAGCGATCTAGCCCACATTTTCGCTGTCCGTTTCAAATTAATCTTTTGCTGATTCAAATTCTTTGATGTTAGAAATTCAATAAACTCATTGTATACCCTAGCCAAATAAAAAGTAAAGTGTTTTTGTGCTATTGATTTATTTGTTCGAATTGCAATGGCAAGCCCGTGAGATGCAGTTCGCGTACAATAACAATGGGATGGGAATGTTAAATCCCTTTGAGTGTTAACTGCCTTAATCACGACTGTCGTGACATACAACTGTTTTACTGTCATCAAACCAGATTCTTCAAACAACAGTACAGAAGGATAGATACGAGGTTTATGTAACATTACTTTCATAACAAGTTTTTGGGCTGTAATTAAATAATAAAAGATAAAATAAAAGATCTTGGCATTATATTGGATCTCAAATTGCGATTTCATCATCATATTGAATAAATCAGTAAGAATTTCACGAATTTTTTGTGTATAAAAACCCTTTACTTAGCATTTGTCTACAGTGTGCTATGTTATGGTTCCGTAATACGGAACTCCATGTATGTGGCGTATCGCGATCGTATTGAAGCTATTCCGCTACGCATTGTACGTTATTTGGCACATAAATTTCATCTTCCTTATTGTAGTATTCAACGAGTTGTTTCTGACTTGGTCTTCCTTTTCAAGTTTGTCTCAAACAAGACCATTTTATATACAGGTGTATCTGAATGACTGCAACAAACTTCAAGGGGTGATTCTTTAGTGAATTTTAAGGGTACTTTGATATATGAACCATGGGCGACTTCGGCTCCTCTAAGGAGCTACACCCCTCCGAAAATGGCGGAAAATTTTGGTTTAATTTTTTTTTCTCAAAAACCATAAACGCTAGGAAAATGAAATTTGGGGAATATGTTTAACTCATAATAGGGCACGTTTTGACCCTATTTGTACTTTCAACCTACCCTTCTAAACTACTAAACGTAACCACCCCCGTTCAATTTATGCCTAGATTTTTTTTATGAAGATGATAAATACATTGGAAAAATTTCAGTTAGAAGATAAAACTATTCTAAAACTTTTTTGTCTCTCTGATGTTCTTCGAAAATTTAATAATTTCTGAGAAAAAAAAATAATTAAGCAAACACTAAGTGTTAAGCTGTAGGGTTGTTAATCGAAAGTTGGAATGAATTTTTAATGGAAAAATCTTAGTAGGCTTTGCAAACTTTGTCATAAATATTTTTGACGTTTAAATGTCAGTGGTTTTCGTACTGTTATTATTGTTTTATTTAAAATTTTGAAATGTCGAGTGAACGAGCGTAAATGCGATAGAACTTTATTTAAAAATAATAATAATAGTAAGAAAAACACTGACATTTAAACGTCAAAAATATTTCTGACAAAGATTGCAAAGCCTACTAAGATTTTTTCATTAAAAATTCATTCCAACTTTTGATCGACAACCCCGTTGTTTAACGGACAGTGTTTGCTTTATTATTTTTTTTCTCAGAAATTAGTCGTTTTTGGAAAAATTTTAGAGAGACAAAAAAGTTTTAGGATACTTTCATCTACCTAGATAAATTTTTTTTAATGTATTTATCATCTGCATAAAAAAAATATTAGCAAAAATGTGAAGGGGGTGGTTACGTTTAGTAGTTTAGAAGGGTAGGTTGAAAGTACAAGTAGGGTCGAAACATGCCCTATTATGAGTTAAACATATTCCCCAAATTTCATTTTCCTAGCATTTATGGTTTTTGAGAAAAACAAATTAAACCAAAATTTTCCGCCATTTTTGGAGGGGTGTAGCTCCTTACGGGAGCCGAAGTCGCCCATGGTTCATATCAAAGTACCCTTAAAATTCACTAAAGAATCACCCCTTAAAGTTTGTTGCAGTCATTCAGATACACCCTGTATAAAAGAATATTGGAACAAAATATAGAAAGATTAGGACTTTGAGAACACTGAATTTTGCAGCAAGATAATGACATAAAGATTACAAAGCAACTAATTCAAACACTGGTTGCTATACTCTTATTATGTACCTATTTGGCTCAATACACCTTCTCAAAGCCCAGAATTAAAACAGCTCACTTTAGCTGGTTGATTATGAAATCGAGTGTTAGAATTTCAGACAAAATAGAACCACACTTTTAGATATTACTAATTAATAATTGATTCATGAACGCTCCCAGTTCATCAATCAATACTATTATCACTATTATTTTTAGCATAATAAAAGCGAAGAAATAATGTAGCTACAAAAAAATAAATTAAAAACTAAATTCGTCTTCTTTAAATTTTCAGTTATTTATTGAACAAAATCGATTTAAGATTAGAATAAAATAGGAACTACTTCTACTTACTGGCTGAAAGAACATTTAAATATTGAAAACTTCAAAATTAAAAGATAAGGTTGGCACAAAAAATAAACATCAAAATAGATAAATACATCATGAAATAATTCAAAATAACAAATAATAAACTATGGTTATGTTTAGTTAACAAAGAGATCATGCAAAACTTTTCTAATTATTAAAATCGTTAAAAAAAAACAGTTTACCTCTTTAATTTAAAACCATTTTAATTATTTTATGGCTTAAAATTTGAATTAGAAAAATGGTTTTAAAAGATCCAAAAACAAAACGATTTAGGCATGCATTGAGAAAAGAAAACCAACAAAAATTTTAAAAAAATATTAAAGATCAATAGCTGTATCACCGTTACTAACCTCTTGAAGTAAATCCTGTGCAGCGATTGCCTTCAAAACATTCTTTTTACTTGTCTCCTGAACTTCACCGCCCAACAGCAACTCATCGAGAATAAAGTAAGCCTTTTCAAAATTAAATATTATATCTAACTCACAAACCTAATTAGAAAATAAATAAATAAATAAATGTACATTTAATTCCATTAAAATTAAATTTTACTTACGCTCCCAAAGTATTTATCCAACAGCTCAACGTAACGATGGATAACCTCCAATGTAAGCAACTCGTTATCATCTTGTTCGATGGCACAGCAAAAATACAAACTGGCATAACGTTTATAAACGATTTTTAAATCTCTCCATTCCAAAAAGCTGCACATTTTCGGTTTTCTAGCCAAAATCGTCGTTATTAACTCCCTAGTAATCTTCTTTTTTAGTTTATCCGCATGAGCCACGTACCATTTCTGTAGCCGCAACTTGCCTTGTCTACTAAATAACAGCATAAATTGCATCTAAAAATAAAAATCGATATTATCTTGCAAACTTTAAGCAATGCCTATACAGCGGATTACCATTTTTAGGGTGTAATGTCTTTAAAAACGGATTAAAAGGCCATATTAGTGAAATAGGTTAACGACACCTAAATTGCATGTTTTTTTGACAGTAAAAAATTAAAGGAAATGTTTTTACCGACATATTTATAAAAATTGTTTTAAATAACTTTACTTATTTATCAAAATTTTCGATTTTATTTAAACGTAATTGAAGTATGTAATACTGGTGGAAATAAATATATTTGTTTAAATTAATATTTTTAATTTATTGTAAAAATTCTAGCGCCATCTATTATCTCGAGTAAACTTATGTGAACGTACAGCTCTGTTCAAATTTAATGCGAATCGTCCGCTGTTAGCTCCGACATGACGCTGGTACTGGAAGAAGACGGAGACATCTTTAGTTTCTATTCAATTCGATTTCTGAGACTAAAGGAAGTTACCCTCTTCCTTAACCCAGGTAACACCGTCCCAGTTTGAAGTGGGCCGAAGAATGGATCACCCTTTTTTTAAATGTGTTAATTTGATTTTATTTTAAATCTTTTTTGATATTTTTAAGAACAACAAATACTACACGATTTTTTATATGTTCCTCTAATAAATGATTTTAGACTATTTCTATAAATAAAACGTCAGATAAAAATCTTAGTAATATAGTTAATATAATATAAAACTTATAAATAAAGCTTTATAAAACTCTCCTTCAAATTTTAAATAGAATTATTCAATATTAAAGTTACGTGCATTCAAATTTGTCCGTTTTCTTAAATACAACATGCCTCGTGTTCCTGGTCAACGAGCGTCAGGTTTGACTACGAGGAGAGCAATTATTACACTTCATCAAGAAGGAATAGATAAACGGGAAGTTGCCGAACGTGTAGGCTTATCAGTAAGATTTGAAGAACACGGGAAAGTTGGCCTTACAACATCTAGATCAGGCCGAAAACTTATTCTTAATAATGCTCAACGAAGGGGAATTGCTGAATACGTCACCGCCAATCCATTTACAACGTCCAGAATTATCAAGGATTTAATTCGATTGAATACATGCGAGTGCTGGAGGATGTTTTGATACCATCAGTAAGAACCTTGTATCCAAAAGGGATCATCACGATTGTACAAGACAACAATTCACCCGTGCGTTCTTCAAGAATTGTTCATGATTGGTTTGACGATCATAATGAGGTTAGGCGAGTACCCTGGCCACCACGGTCACCTGATCTTAACCCAATCAACAATCTATGGGCTTTGGTGGAAAAACAATTCAATAAAAATGTCAACTTTCCGATTCGCAACGTGGATAATCTGCGCCGCAACATTACAGTTGTGTGGGAATTATTTCACGGCAAGGATGTATGCGAAAGAGTAGTAAATTCGATGTCTGGTGGACATGATGGAGATTGCAATATTGCATAGTAATGGGTATTATACAAAATACTGGTAATATTTGATGGTATAATGGACACCTTATAAAATTCTCCCCAATTAGATTATTATAATATTTATTATATTTTATATGTATAATAATATATTATGTTTTTTTGTTATATAGGAGTATTATATTATATTGATTTTTGATTTTATTATATTAAAATGGTTATCGATATATTTCAATATATAGTTTGTATATAACTTCCTATCAATATATAATTTTCATTTCTTATGAGGTTCGACTTATCGTTCCACTGTATTACCAAAGTAATACAGTAATTATTAGTAATTATTTTCATTTACTACAGGAATTGTGTAAAGTAAATGGATTGCTTATACCTATTTATTTTCTTAATTTTTCTTTGTGATTCAGTCATCTTGGCCATAAATCACATCACCCCGCTTGCCTGTTC